CAGATGGCTGCACTTTCATCCTAAAACACTTGGTAGAGCTGCTTCAGGGGAAAGCATCTGGGCAGGTGGCAGAGTATTGACAGGTGATCTAGCCAATCCCAGTAATCGGATGCCTGCACAGACATGTCCCCTTGAAGCAGAGTTTCTACCAAGCATTTTAGAATACAAACACAGTCCTCTGCAAGCCATGGAAGACTGGGAAGTGATCACACAACCAATAACATTCTGAGGCAAAGCTTGACCTGTGAGGCTCCACATTGCTGCTGAGCTTCCTGTGTTAATGAGCTGTTCATGTGCAGTTTAGGGAACACTGGTGTCTGGATCCTTAGCAGAAAGACAAATGTACCTAGGGTTGCCAGGTCCCCTTGCCAAGCTGGCAGAGGGATTTGGGGGGAGTTTTGGGACATCCCTGGTGCTATGATGTCACCTGGAAGTGCCATCACTGCATCGGCGATGTCGCACAGCAACGCTCTGGTTTGAGGGCAAAGCTCTATGGTTTTAGGCCAAATTTATCGTACAGGTTTACACTCAAACCAGAGCATCCCCACAATATTCTTGACATGATGACATCACTTCTGGGTGACGTCATCACATCGGAGATGTAGTGTGGGAATGTGGCTGTTTGGGGACAGGATTTCCTGTCGGCCAACTGGCCGGCAGCAGGCTGAAGCCGCAAAAACCAGGGGAACCCCCGCTGGGACCTGGGGACTGGCTACCCTAGGTGTACCTAAGAAAGAATGGGCTGCAGTCAAAAGGGCAGCTAGATATTTTAAAAGCAACTTTACATTTGAAATTAAAATTGCCATCCACCCATAATCCAAAATTAGTTGGTTACTGTGACAGATTGCACAGAAAAACAGTTTTTAAAATGCTGCTATTACAGAGAGACTGGGAGATCAGGAGTTAATGTGCCCTGGAGAGGAGAACTTGAGTGATTGGCTGCTGTACACACTCTCTGATTGGCCAGTGTCAGCTGAGAGAAATATATGATCAGCTGTGCACTGAAGGGAAAAAGGCTTCTCATCTGGAGCCAGCAAGTCAGTAGGTTGGCTTTTGACAGGGAGAGAGATGGCTGGAGTCAGTAATTCTGACAGGATTGGTCAGACAGGTTCTTCTTCTGAGAGAAGAGACTCCTTTGCCCTAACTGAATAAGAACTGCTCTGAGGAGAATTGTGATTCTAAGTCTAGGGAGCTAAAAACTGCTTTACGCAGACATCACTGCTGGGAGAGAGATCTGGCAAGGGTGACTGGGTTGTTAGGCTGTAACTCCCAATCAAGCCAAACAGAAAAGTATAATTGCTTCTTAGGGGAAAGAAGAATAATTCCTGCCAGTTAAAAAGGTTTGAGCTCTGAAGAGAACCCTGGTCTGTGGTGAAGGGAATAAGCTTTAGACTCCTCAGGGGTTAGTGGAACACTAATTTCAAATGGGAGAAAGATATTCTAAGAGCAAATATCCAGGAAACTCTGTGAAGTAATATTGAAACTGCTGAAATATGCTAAGCAATATACCTCTCACCGAAAAGACCTAAAAATATATGAAAATAAGCTACAACAACACACTCTTGTTTGTCTTAAGAATTTGTTCCTGGACACTTCCGGTGGACAGCGACTCGCAACGGTCGCACCCCTTCCAGCTCTGATGGGGGCGAGTCGGATCGGGGCGGCAGGGAGGGGGATCGGCTGGTCTCGACCTCCCCAAGAAGTTCCAGGAGGGAGCTTCTAGCCTGGAGCGCCAAAGGGGCCGCTCCTGAAATTTCGGCTTGAGGGCATAAGTCTCCTGTTTGCTCCGATAGGTCCTGCGGTCCTGAGGCCAGCAATGGCGCTCAGAGACATTACCGGACCAGAGCGTACAAGAACTTAACTAAAAAGAAAATCTATGAGAAAAAGTGATCCAGCGATTAAACAGTGAGTTAAGTGGCAAAAAGAAAGACATTTATAAAAAGGGTGGTAGAAGAAATCAGCACAGCGAATCTGCTTAGCTTCAAAGAGACGGGGGGGGATTCGCAGAGGAAGAACTCGACCCAGTAGCGAAATTGCAGTGTAGAAGCTTGCTGGACCCAAGTGATTAATACCCTATTCCAAGTGGAAAACACCTGAGCTAATCATTTACAACACAGGAAAGATCTCAGAACTTTTATAAACTTTTACCTAAGTATAAACAGTGTCTCAGCGTGGGAGTAAAATGGCGTCCAGAGGCAGAGGCTCTACAGGAAATGCCAGCACAGCATCACCAGTCACAAGACCGGAAAATACCAGCGAGTTAGCTACTGCAATTTCCGAAGCCATGCGCCCTCTTGCTGGACCAGCTTACGAACCTCAATCAAAAATTTGACACTTTACAGAAAGAGCTCAAGGAAATTGCAGTCAAATCAGAGAAGTCAGCCAAAAAGATTTAAAAGGTTGAAATTAAGACCAAAGAAATACACCAAAGAATGGACAAGGTGGAAAAAGAAAGGACCTCTGAAAAGCAACAACTTCTACAGCTACAAATGGAAAGATCTTCTTTTTTCTTGAGATTTCAACGGGTGCCAGAGAAAAAAGATGAGAACATAAGAGAAATTATAAACAAAGCAATGCTCCTGTTAATCAATAGCAAACTTGAATTAATACAAGCAGACAATGATATGATCTACAGAATCTATTCCGAGTTTGTAAAAAAAAATTTCCTAGGGGAAATTTTTGTAAAATTTGCAAAAAGATCAATAAGAGACTCAATACTCAAAGCAACAACAGCCACAAGTCTCATCATCTTTTACACTGCTGCCCTTCTCAAATTGTGATGCCCCAACTGACCACCTGTGTGATGAAGTGGCCTGTACCAACCAGATCTCAAGTCCATCCCTTGACTGAATGGAACTCCATGGCATTCCAAGGCAGAAGAGATAAGAATGGGTGCAAGAGGACAGCCAACAGGCAACCTTGTGCCTAATTTGGAGGGAAGGAGAGAGGAAAGCAAGGAGCAAAGTAAAAATAAAAAGCATAGAAGCAGATTGTCTAGTAACCTCACTGAACACCGAGTTAAACACAAGCCTTAGTTATGTTTACACCCTCTAACTTTCCTGAAACCCATTTTATTGTATTTGAACAATAATTTCTAACTGGTTACTTAATGTATAAGTAAAACCATTTGTTTCATAAAATCATACACCCATCCCAGCCTATCAACTAGCAAGCCAAAAAGCATTGGCATGACCCTCCATTCTAAGCCCCCCCCCCCTTCAATTTTCACAATATGTAAACAAAAATGGTCTCATAATTTGTTTTGTGATCTTTTGGTTCTTTCTAATACTTTTCTTTTGGGAAATTATTCTACAGGGGAACATAGTTTACTTGCAATTGTAAATTAAAAACATGGTGACTGCCGTTATGTATTCTTAAATGCAGAATTGCCAAATTATTCTATATTAGAGCACTTCTTCCACAAGATTAAACCCCGAACATGATATTCTTGAGACACATAATTCAACAATATGCTTTTCCTCTAAGAAATTCATATAGAATATGAATGTGATACAGGGAAATATGAATGAAATATCAAATTAAATTTTGTTCAAATAATCTCTTCTAAGTCCTGAAAAAACAGTAGGTTTTTAAAAACATACAAACCTTGGGCAATTTTGGGCCACTCTAAAGTTGGACATTTTACCAAATAAGTCTTAACTATTCTGTCAACCCCCCCCCCCCCATGTTCTGTTTGAATTTAAGTGTACATTTATATTGGGAAAGTACTCAGACTAGTTTGGAAAAGAATGGGGTTACATAGGGCAAGAAAGCAGCATAAATTGGGTCTGAGAGTGTAGTGAAGCCAGAGGCCACCACATGAAGTCCAGGAATCAAGAAGCTTCAACCTCCCCAAGTAACTGAAGTGCTGCCCAAGGATATTGCTGGTTTCAGAACATTCAAACCGTGTACACATATTTTTAAAATTCTACTCCACAAACAAACAGAAAATACAAATATTTTTGTTTCCAAATTTACCTCAAGGCGGACTCTGGGCTATGTTACAAGGGGTGAAATATGAAAAGGGAAATATATTTAGAATAAGTGATTGGAATCTGTGATAGGTTTTGGTAAGTCATCCTGATGTGCTGCACACAGGTAGGCCCAAGTAACATATGTTTCTTAAAGTAACAGAAGATAAGATATACCAGTTTGGCCATTTTCTTACTGGAATCACACCTCAACTTACTTTCACCCCTAGTTAGAGGCCATTAGGCAGCAGCCTGGTTGATGACAGAACTATACCAGGTCACCAATTCTATAATGCAGGCCTACAGCTCTTTGGAACGCACATCGTTTCTTTCAGAAGATGATATCCACTGCTTGAAGTAGTATCGTAACTCATAGGCTGAATCCAGCACAGAATGTCTTCTTGTTCTAGAGTTTTTGTACAAGTGAGTATATACAACAAGCCCCCCCCCCCCAATACCTGCCTGCACTAAGTCACACTTATTTTACCCCCACTTGTGTTTCTGGGCACAATGATATATAGGGGGGAATACATTAGGTGTTGCGAAAGATCTTGTGCAAGTGGAACTGCACTATTTAGGTTTCCATTTGTGCAGAACCATTATTCTTTTCATCTACTATATATACAGTAACCAACCACAACCCCTATCCTTATCCCTGCTACACACACACACACACACACACACACACACACACACTTGTTTTCATCTCCCTTCCCACTCTAGAGTGCTCCCTGGGAGACATACAACACACACACACACAGACCTTGCTGAGAAGTGAGAAATGGCTCTCAAACACCGAACCTTCTGAGAGCTTGCATATATTTTAGACCAAAGCCCTCCTTTTGTATAAAAATGTTTTCACTGCACTCCAGAATTGATGTTGCTATTCCGTACAAACTGAACTCTTGATGCTCATTCATTTCTTTGCCACGCAGCAAGCAAGTGGGAGAAGCTCAGTCTAAACACATTGCTCGTTTCCCCTCATCATAGCCTAATGACATCTGCTGCATGACTGCATATTAAAAATACCTGTTGCCATGAACATGAGAAGCACAAAAGGCAAAGCTGTAATGGAGCAAGGTTGGGTCAATGACAGCACCATTCTCTGAGTGTTCCATCAATTCATTCAGATAGCAGAGATGGCGGTGGCATCCTCTCACACCGTAACGAGCACAATATTCATCTAGCACGAAGACCTGGCCTGGGCTAAACCAACCCTGTAAAGAGATGGGGGGGGGAGGGAGGGGGAAAGCATCACTTTAATGAAGCCAGATTGTTCTTTTCTTCATTGTTTTCAAATCACATTCTCTTACTGAGAAAAGGGGGGGGGGAGATCTTGCATGTATTACATTTACAACAAATCAGATTATGACAATAGGTTCAAGGGGTGAGACTCCAAACAGCAACTTGACTGAAAAATGATACAGTGCCATAACAGTTTCTTTTTACTGTATTTCAGTGCTGTATACCTTGAAACCTTCTCAAATACAGAGGCACTAAAATGGTTAAAGTTGGTTTCCATGTGTTAGCTCAAATACAGGAGAACAATAACAAAAGAAACCTACTCATCTCATGGAAGGGAGGTTAGTTTTCTCCTTTTGCTGACTTGGAAAAATTACAGGAAGGATAAAGACAAATGGTTTGGGAAGTAACATTAAGAGGGAAGAAGTCAAGAGAGATCCGTGTACCTTAAGAGTGCAGAGAGACTGGACTGAATTCAAAGCCTTTTTCAGACATTATAATTAGGCATATCCAACTGTACATACTGAGAGTCAATATGCTACCCATGATCTTCCTGATACACATGTCCACCATTTCTTCTGAAATGTATCCACTTCAGACAGAAGACCGTGGGGTTACACATGGTTGGATATTGCCAAACATAATGTCTGAAAACAGAAGGCTCATTTCATTTGCCATGAATCTCCCTTCTCAGTGGTCCTAGGGTGGGGGGCAGTCTCCATGTATGGGAAGTAACTCCTTCCTGGAGGCAGGCAGGGTTGCTGACTATTTAGATCCCATGGGGGAACAGCTTCTCCCCCAAGCTTCCAAGCTGGTTCTAAAGCAGTCCAACTCTTATCCATGAGTTTAACAAAAAGATCAACCCCCCCCCCCTCAAACCAACAGCCAAACAAAAGGAGATCAACATATAGAACTATAGGGGGAAAAACAAGGCCAAAAAATGAATGGAGGACCCCACAGGGTGCCTTACAGGATGTTTTCAGGACTTTAGGACTGAGCAGCATACCTCAACCAGACTACAGGCCATCCCTGGAATACCAGGCCCTACCCCTGGCTGGGAAGAGACTGCTCCACCCTAGAACAACCAAGAAGGGAGATTCGCAGTAAGTGAAACAAACCTTCAATTTTCTGGTGGTCCAGGGTGGGGCAATCTCCATGTATGGGACATAGAAAAGCAGTAGGCTATGGGGAGGGGGGAGGGGAATTAGAGGACATAAGAGTATGACTCGCAAAAGACCTTGGTCCGATCTAGATAAAAGCTCAACACTCTCCAAACATCTAAACAGTGCCATTCCCTCTCCTGAGGATGTTTAGGGTTAGGACAGAAAGAGGGAAGGACCAGTTCCTCTGACTTATGAAAGGACAAGTTAATTTTGGGGATAAAGGTCAGGTCAGTGTGCAGCACTACTCTGTCATTATGGGAAGTGCAAAGTTCCTTGTCCACAGAAAGGGCCCTAAGCTCAGAAACTCTCCTAGCAGAGGTGATTCCCACCAGGAAAATGGTCTTAAAGGTGAGCTCTCTGAGGTGGCCATGGGCTCAAAGGGGGCCTAAGAGAGAGCTTTCAGCACTATGTTTAGATTCCAGGAAGAAAACTGGTGAGAACACGGAGGGTTCAGTAGGGATATTCCCCTAAGAAATCTCCTCACATGGGGTGATGAAAAAAACCCTGCCCCTCTTATAGCAGAAATGGCAGCCACCTGTTTTTTGAGAGTACCTAGTGCTCAGACCCTTATCCAGACCTGCTTGAAGGAGAGGAGATTGCCCACTTTAGCTCTACATGAGTCTAACCCTTTCTCAGCATGCCAAGACTAGAAAACATGCCAGGTATTGTTGTAGGCCTTATTTTTTAAAATCATTTTATTTACAGTTTTCCATAACTTACATATATTTGTCTCTTATTTTGTAACAATTGGGGGGTAACATTACATCTTTTCTTCATACCATTTTATGGCATTTTGCCATTTCTGTTTAAATTTCTCCTCTGTTTTTCCCGCCAAAACCATATTTAACTTATCCATTTCCATTACTTCAAAAAGAATGCTAATCAGGTCATCCTTACTCGGTATTTTATCTGACTTCCAGTTTTTTGCAATACATATTCTTGACATTGTAATCACATATACAATAATACAAGTTTCATTATGTTTTAGTCCCTCAGGTATGATATTTAGTAGAAAAATTTCCGGTGTAATCGCTAAGTCTATCCCTGTAATGTCTTTTATCAGCTGTTTTGTGCTTTTCCAAAATCTTTGTATTTTCTCGCACTTCCACCATATATGGAAGTACGTTCCTGTGTTATTCCTACACCTCCAACAGTTCCCTGAGACATTTGTATAACATTTTTGCAGTCTATCTGGGGTCCAGTGCCATCTAAATATCATTTTTATTATATTTTCTTTATACGATGTGGCTCTTAGCAGTTTGATCGACTTCCATGTTTTTTCCCATTCTTCTCTCTCTATGTTGCGTCCCAAATCCTTTTCCCATTTAATCATTGATGGTTTTTTCCAGTCCTCCATTAGTTCTTCTTCTAGTAAGAAGTTATACATTTTTTGTACCAGCTTTTCTTTCTCTCTCAGCCATATCTTATCTAGTTGTATTTCTGCACTATAGAATTTCACCTTTTTGTCTCTTATAACTCTTGTGCTTAATTGTGTTGTAGGCCCTATTGATGGAGCTCTTTCCAGAAGCCACTAAGGTGTCTATGACCTTATCCAAATAACCTAGCTCCTTAAACTGCAGCCATGCAACCTCCAGGCTGTGAGGCTTCACATCTCAGGCTGAGGATGAAGGAGGGACCCTTAGTGAAGAAGGTCCTTCCTGACTGAAAGGTACCACTGTTCCTGTGTCCTTTAAGAGAGCTTTTCTGCCTGTTAGCTTTCTTGACTATAGAAGTCCCTGCCTGCTGGCTTGTTACCAGAATTGTTGCTTAGGCTGGCAGAAGTGATTGACTTGCAGCAGCTGAGAAATGTCATCTAAGGCCCCTGCCACACGGCAGGGGAAAAGCCCTTTAAAGCGCGGCTTTTAAAAGCCGCGCCAACGTTGATACGGCTCGGCGGGATCCCACGGATCCCCCGGCCGAGCCGCCTTTTCTCCCCGGCGCGATCAAACGCCGGAGAGAAAAGACGGCTCTAACCGGGAGCCGGCCGATCTGCGCATGTCGGAGCATGCGCAGTTCGGCTCCGGCCCGGGCTTGAGCCGGCGCAAGGGAGCGCCGGCGATCAGACGCCCGGGAAGAGGCGCCTCATCCGTTTGAACCACCGAGGTAGGTGGTTCAGTTTGAGGCGGTTCTTCCCGGGTTTGGGCCAGTTTGGAGGCGGAAGCAGAACGCTTCCCAGATGTTGTGGTGTGATCGCGCTGCTTTGATCCGCCTCCAAACTGTCCCGTTCCCGGGCCAAATCGCCTCGTGTGAACGGGGCCAAAGTTTACCTTTTTGCAATATACTTCTTGGGATATTTATTTACTGTATTCAGTATCTTTCCCAAACCCGGGCCTCCCCAGGCTGCTCCCCCCCCCCCAATCTCCTGTCCCATATTGTCAGAGAAAGGGTGTGAGCAGTACCGGGGTCTGTAAGCACAGGTGGGGGGGAGATT